GGAATTTTTTGATTTATAATTTATGGCATGACCATAATATTATAATTTCAGACTTTAAACCAAAACAAGCATTTAAAAATTCTATATAATATGAGTCAAAATTCAGACATTTTTGGTTTTTCCATGTCAAGAGATACCAGGTTGCTTGCATATATTAGTGCAATTACATTGTGTACTGCTACCTATTTTATCATTATTAGAAAAGACATTCGAATCACTACAATTATTTTGGCTGCATTCGGTGTGTTTGCTATTTTGTTTTTGGTATGTATTTATTATATCGGAATTCATATGAAAATATATAGTTTATCTTTAAAGACTTACAATAATAAACAACATATAAGATCCCAATCACAATCGTTAATATAATCTTTTGTGCTGTGGTGCTTGTTGCTGCGTTTGTATGTATTTTATGATTTTGGAATCCATATCAAAGCTTACATTTTCATATTTTGTTATCTCATAATAATAATATACTTTTTATCTCTCATAATAGAACAAATTTGTCCGTTTATGAATTCGGAGAAGCGTTATTAATTCAAACACTTGTATTTATTTCAATATTAAATATTTAACAAATTACAGTATATATCTATATACTAAATTATATTTACTATAAAAGAAAAAAATCTATATTCCATTTGGATTTTGAGAAGTCACTTTTTATTTAAACTCGGAATGTTCTTACATTATCACTAAAGTGTAAATTATATAAATTGAAGCTGTGTACATCTTTCAATATTAATATTCAGAGTTCCTTCATCGGCCCTATGAGAAATGGCCCAAAGTAATCTTTCCGGACTTTTTTATTTAGAATACGAGAATATTCTTTAGTTGTAAAAAAGGAAGAAATTTTTTTATTATATGCAGCTTTTTGTTATTCATACATGTAATGCAGCTAATTGAGGATGTTTTATCAGAATACTTTTTGTTAGGGATGTTAATAGATTGATTTTTCACAGTCTATAATCTAAATCAAAAAATTTGACAATAATAATAATAATAATTGATTGGCGAATCAATCATCGATTTGCAACCGATTTTTATATTGCAAGTGGCTTTTGATGATTGTTTTGGGTCAACTTTTTAGCTACACTCGTCAATTAATTGCAGCCTTTTATATTCAATTCTCGTCAATATTAATTGATTTTACGAATTTATTTAACAATTATCTTGCTTACTGCCTCTTTTTGTACCTAGAAAGCTTCGACGAGCCTGTAAGCGCACTTTACAGTACAATAAACATGTTAAATCTGAGACAATATAAAATATAAAAATTCAAATATATTAAAACGGGGCTAGACCACATGTCCGAAAGTCATCATAATATGAATTTTAAAATTTTCATTATCAACAATTTTTTTGTTTCGTTTCAAAAAAAAACTTGATTAACAGACTGTGTACTAAGTCTGTTTCGCAACAAAGTAATTTGTTGTCCTGCATCAGAAAAAAGTCGTTCTGAAGTAACTGATGAAGAAGGAATCGACAAATATTTTTGGCTAAAATAGAAAGTAATGGGGTTTTTTTTTTCATTATCACGTCATCATTTTAATGGTTCATTTCCTTAAATATGAAGTATTTGAGGTATATTTTTATATGCTTCAGATTCGTCTATATTATTTCTCTCTCCTTAATAATTGATTAACGTCCCTACTAAAGAAAATCACTCCTTTAATAAAAAGAACGTTTGAACGAACTTACATTCAAGGATATGTTTTATAATCTTTGTTTTTCTGATAACAAGGTAAATAAGCATATGTAATTTTACTTTATGTTAGAACATCACCAGTTCACGTAAAAAAATTAATAACGAATCCTTCAATAATCATTGTTAAACACAATTTTATTTTTGCCTAAAAGACAAATAATCTAAATATTTACAAATAAATCAAAATTAACTTGATGATAAAAAAATACCAAAAGAAATCGAAAATATATGAAAGGATTTCAAGCAATTATTTGACAAAAAGATCGGATTGAATCCCGGCCTCTCATCTAATGAAATCAAAATGGTTATTGAAATTCGTGAATTGCTTGGAGAGGGAAAGGGTGTTGCTGCTTCCAATGTAAAACAAATCCTAGAAGAAAAACGATAGAAGCAATCCAACAGTGGGTTGATAAAGGAATAAATGAAGTGGAAAGGAAAGTTGACGAAGATAACGAGAGCAAAGAAGATAGATACAAATATTATTATAATTATTATTTGTAGTAATAGCAGTAGTAATAGCGAAAGTTAGATTTTTGTAACGATCTAATAAAAATTTTTTTCTTAAAAAATTAATTTTTAAATTTTTACACCTTAAAAATGACAACGATCGAAAATCAATTAGACATAGCAAATGCGAATTTAAAAATTGTAGAAGAAAGGTCGAAGGAATGGGAAGAGGAATTGGAGGAGGAGTTGATGGATGGGAAATGGAGTGGTGGATGATGCGGGAAGAACGAAGGAATAATTTAGAAAAAGAAAAAGAGGAGTTGAAGGTAATGAAGGTGAAATGGAAGAATCAGGTTATAAATTGCAGAATGATTTAGTCAAAATTAATAAGGAAAAAGGTATCAAACAAAAATTATTTTCCATTCCATTTCGTTTATTTATTCATTCATTTGAGTGATCATTATTTGATATACTGACTGAACGTTAATTAATTATATTTCCCTTTGGTTATTTTTTATCCCATCTTCTAATTATTGCCTGAATTAACTTTTGAATTATCTTGTTCATCCTTTTTCACCAAGAATCAGGTAAGAACAACTTTTATTAGAAAATAGCTGGAAATACTTGCATACATGTCACAACATTAAACATTTCATTTGTTTATTATTGGAAACTAGAAAAGTATCAGCCAGGTTGAAATTGAATAAAACCAGTACAACCAAGTCAATGCCAAAGTGAAAATAAGATTTTAAGCTTAGCATGAATTTATA